GAGAAAGTGGAATGGAAGAAAGCAGCGGAGAAGGTGGAGAGGAAGGGAGTAGCCAAGAATATGGAAGCACAGACGAAAGTGGAGGCGAAGGAAGTGGCGAAGAGAATGAAGAGGAGAGAAGCGGTGAAGAAAGTGGAGATGAGGGAGGCAATGAAGAACACCAAGAGAAGGAAGGAAACGGGGAAAGGGAAAAGGAAGGGAGTGCTGAAGAAAATGGAAACGAGCAAGGCGGCATGGAGAGTAGCGAGGAAAGTGGTGAGGAGGAAGGCACTGGAATGGAAAATATCATCGCTGTTAACAATGGCCGCGTTCTTTTGGCCGGTGGCATTCCACGTAACCCTACCACCGAGCCCATTTCACCGACACCTGAGACGACAGATGCCGTTCAGGACCTTCTAGAGATGGTTAAAGAGATAGAGAATGTAGCTGAGCTTCCATGGCCTTAATTGGGTTGGAGTGTCAGCGCTGATTATACGACTAGTTATAATTTTGTATAGTTAAATATGATTAGAGATAAAACTAGAAACGAACATAACTTCCCATGCTTCACTTCTTCTGCGGGACAAAAATCGCAGTGCTTCAGTGAGATACAGGGTCGCTTCCAATTTAGTTAGAAAATTCGGTGACCATTTTCTTTCAAGAGGATCAGTAAAAACCTTTTTTTTTTCTTTACACAAAAGAACGGGACAACTATGCTCCATTTGTATAACAGAATTTTCTCCGAGCAAAAGAAAAAAAAACACACTTTGGTTGGAGAGGCAGTCGGCTCTAGTTCTATTCGCTCATTTAAGCCGAGATTTCATGCCTTTTTAGACTGCAAGCGATGGAAAAAGGAAATTACCTGCAAGGAGGTCTTCAATTCTTGCCCGGCCTTGAGCAACTCAACCCGGCGAGTTCTGCCAGGGCTTGGCACTGATTACTTCAGTGCCAAAACCCGGCAAACCCTCCCCCTCTGAAATCTTCCCGCGGGCGGAGAAGCGAGCGTTCTGTAGTGTTCAAAAAGAAGATCTGCTCGCAAGCTAATGAAGTATGAAATAATTGAAATGTATGCAAAGCTGTAAAATCGAGTCAAGCACCAATCAAGTCAGAGTTAGTTTAATTGTATTTATAAACTCCTTAAGCTGGGTTCGTCAACTTACATCAAGAAAAAAGCATCGTAGAGCTTGAGAAATAAATGGTACAATGATCGTTTGATTATTCTGTCAATAGGAAAAAGGGGAAGAACAATTTAAGGTCGTTCCATTGCATTTCCCATAAGATGAAATAGCAAAACAGCCCTAAACTGAAGTATACGAAGATGCAGTTATCTCCTTTCGATCCTGCAATTTTTTTGGCGTAATGCTACGGATTTTTAACTTTTAGCTCATTATTAAGCTCCAATTTGAATCCTATTTGTCAAATTTGGATTAACTGACAAAGAATCAGACAGTCAGAAAAGCCATCACAGTCACGTTTACATCATTTACTGTTAGAGAAATTAAAAACGCCACCTTTTAGGATACAGGTGTAGAAAATTTGTCACCAAAACTAAACGACGTTATATTTGGGTATTAAACAAAATTGGCCTACAAGTAAATTGCATGCTAATTGAATTGCCATGTAGTCGGTAAATTATCAGGACTCTCAGGGATTCCCCCATATCTGCGCAATTTTCTTCTGCGTCGATTTGCGCGTGACCAAGCTGCTGTCTCGAGAGCCTTCTTCGATCCTCCTTCGCGAAGGAGAGTGGACTCATCAGTGGCTGGTAATCGACCCGGAGATGTGACAACTTTCAGTGTAGCCTGAATGTAGCGAAGAAAACTGTAGTAGGCCTTCCACGATTATTTTGTTACACCCGCTGGTTGTCGATTGGTCACATGACCAAAATGGATATCCCATGAACATTTGCAAAATTAAGCACAAGGAAACTGGACACTAATGTATTTTCCGCGCTGAAATTTAAACATGGCGACTAAGTTTAAAGCTGTTGCTTCCAAATTTATTTCCGCACTGAGCGATCCAAGTAATTTTGAGAGATCTTGATTACACCATTAAATCAGTGTTGTTAACTAACATCGGCTTTATTCTCTACTGAACTTTCATTAAGGAAAACTGAAGGTAAAACGTAGCTTTAGCTGAGGTAAACCCGATATTGATTGATCGAGAGTGTGTTTACGCCGCTCGTTTCCGAAGTTTACTCAACGATGGACGAGCTTTCATCAGAAGACAAGAAAAGCCGTTATACTGTTAAGGTTTGTATAATTTTTTTCAAGTACGTTATTAATCAGAAAAAATAGACCCCTTACTCAAGTGTTCATCTATGTACATTTTCTATGTAAGCTATTCATGTTATCTTTAACACGAAACACACAAGAAAGTTGAGTGCAATGTAAAACTTTAGACAACCCCAACAGTAAAAATGCCACTACAGAGTAAATTTTCGTTTGATAACATAAGTCAAGTCATATTTAAGAGCATTCTGTTATTGACTTGTACATACAGCCAACGAGTATGGATGACTTTAATATAATCAAACCAATCAGCCGTGGTGCCTTTGGGTAAGTCATCTTTAATCCTTCAACTTTACTCAGTTCACTGGATGCACAGCATAAGTGGGAGAGTTGTAGGTTATTATCGAGTGACACTTTCTGTAACTGCAACAGTAATGTCACAACGCTGTTGAAGATACTGTTTCTTATTTCAAGACAAATAATGGTCAACTTCAAATGGGTTCAAGAATTTGCACAGAGAATTTATTAGAAATTATTTTTTCTGGTTGTTACTGGTTTAGTTGTCTGATTTTGGAATACTTTCATCCTCGTTACATTGTGAGAACATTGCTCTTTTTGTTAATCAGTCTTCTTTGTTTATAATTTTGGTACCTTTGTGTTCAACAAATTACCTTGTTGAGTCCACATTGATTGAATTAGGTTTTTCAAGTAATTAATACATGGAACTTGGCAATGTTACCTGACATGACTGGATAGTAATTTAATATATTAATGAGAATGTTATGTGAATAGTAATAGGTGATGAAGAGTTGCTTTTCAGGAAAGTATTTTTGGCTCGAAGGAGAGACAAAGATCAACAATTCTATGCTGTGAAGGTGGTTAAGAAGACTGACGTTGTGAACAAGAACATGATGGAACAGGGTGAGGAGCAAATTTTTAAGGCAAGACTTTTGTACAGCCTCATATTTTATTATGCACACAGTTGCTGGATAAAGGAAACAATGGTATAAAACTATGGGGTGTGTTTGGGACTATGGCATTGTTTTACAATTGTACAGGGCAAAAGGGAAACTTCTTCAATTTTTCTGTGAGAAAACATGGCGCTTTTCATTCATGTGAATTTCCTTTTATTGTCAAAACGACACTATTCTGTTATGTATATAACAGGACTTTTTTTTTTATCCAGTGGTTGCAGAAAGAGATTGTCTGGCAATTGCAAAGAGTCCCTACATTGTAAACTTGTTTTATTCCTTTCAGTCAAAAGATAGAATATTTCTGGTGAGTTCTGTTGTATTTTTAACCTTTAGCACACTAACATCAGTAAGCATATGCATTTCCTCAATTGCTCCTCATTTCCTTCATTGCTGACGAGGAGAATTTGTTTAACAATTATGAGCTTCTTTAGTTGGTGATCATTTCCTTTATTCTTGTGACCTTCATGTTCGACTCAGGACTCCTCATGAGGAGAAGTTAGGTGCTAGTCACTCTTAGGGATTTAAAGGTTAATTCTCAGGTAGGTTTAGAGAGGCTGTCTTTTGTTGACTAGTTAGTTGTTTGTTTTTCTCAGTTCATGTGCTACTCAGTCCAGTTTTATCCTTGACTGGAGTTTGATTTTTAAAATCATCTTTTTGGTACATAATAAATTCTTTACTGACCAGAAGTTTGTTTGGTCAATAATACATATGACTGTTCACTTCTTGATTTAGGTCATGGAGTATTTGATTGGAGGAGACTGTAAATCATTGTTACATAACATGGGATACTTTGATGAAAACATGGCAAGAATCTATATATCACAGGTCAATTATTCATCCTGATCCTTTCATTATCATCCTAGACACTTTACATTTGAAGATAATGTAGATTAAAATGACTACCAATGCTTGTGCATGTTAATGTGTAACATTAGAAGTACCCTCTGTTCTTTACAAAGCAATTACTGGCCAAAAATCCAGCCAGCAGTCACCACTTTTTTTATCTACTAGCAAATTTTCCAGGAACCTGACACTTAGCAACAACCCTGTCAGCAGCTGTATGGGGAAATTAACCTGTGCTCCTCTGCTCCTCTCCCAAAATAGATGGCTCCTTCCTTCTCAGAGGATTGCAGCATGTCCTTGAGAAAACAGCAGTAATAAAGCTTACTATAAGTGATGCTGTGGCTTAATTTGGACTAAATCTGTCGTTGAGACTTGGTTGGGTTTTTTTTCCTGGGTAAGACTAATGTCACTCTCACAGTCATTCAAGAGTTGAAATGGGTACTAGCAAACTGCCAGAGGAGCCTGATGACAGGGCAGTAGCCTGCAATGGACTAACATCCTATCCAGGGAGGGGGAGAGTAGCTATGGTCCTAATCACTTCTAGCTGTCAAGACTGGTATAAGCTGCAGTACCTCCTAGGTCACATGGCTTCAATACATACCAACCCTTACCCACCTCACATGAAATACATCTCACAGTTTCTTCACTTGTCTTTTGAGTCCTATTTTAAATTATTTTTCTTTTGGCTGCAGGTAGTCTTGGCTTTGGATTATCTTCACAAACATGGGATTATTCACAGGTAAGAGAAACATCTACAGTGTATGCAATTCAAAATTGAATTACTTTCCAGAAAATGTTATGACCCAAACACCAGTCACAACAAAAATACATTCTCTTGGAGTTTCATCATGGAATTAACCAGTTTGTTGGCTGTATGTACAAGTAAATAACAAAATACTTTATCATCTGTGATTAAGAACCTGAAATATAACATCCCAAGAGCTGTACTATTTCTGGCTCTTCCATACATACAGCATTGTGGTTGTTGAATAATGTTTTTTGAATTTATCTCCCCCCTCCACCACACCAAAAAAACAAAACAAAACAAAAATCCTTTCTGGTCATTTAGCTTCTTTTTTCTTATTTTTTATTTCTCTCTCTCTTTCTTTGTCAACTTGATGTCTTGAAAAAAAGAGTTTCTCCCACAGCTAGTGTTACTCTGATGTGTTTCAAATGAGTAGAGAATAAAGAGTGTCTCCATATTAATTGTGCATACCATTAAGAATGTTTAAGGCCTGTTGCTTAGGTCACCTGTCTGCATTCATGAATTTTTCTAAAGTTCTTTTTCAAAATGCAACTTTAGGGATCTTAAGCCAGACAACCTTCTAATCTCCAATGAAGGAAAAATCAAGTTGACTGATTTTGGGTTGTCAAGGTTGACATTGGAAAGAAGTAAGTCTATTTTATCAATTGTGAATATGAATCATTCAAACGTCGAATAAACCCACGATTTTTTTTTGGTGTTTTTTTGTTGTGCATCTGTTACCTTAACTTTTAATTTTAAATGCAGCAAGTTGTTTTTGACAACTTTCATTTATTGGAAGAAGTTGATAACCTTTGGATTGAACATGTCATAGAGATGTTCTGGTAAACTGTACCATGTAACCTCTCCCCATAATGTGAAAATGAATACCTCAAGAGGATGTAATGGAATGTTCATTGTCTAGAGCCATCAGGAATTTGGTTTTTACTTAAAATCACTCTGTGATTGGATAACAAAACGTGCACCTCTTTCTAAGCTAATCAGATTCAAAACTGGATATACTGGATCTATGCAGTACTGGATGTACTGGATTTATAGTAATTTGGCACGTTCACGTTTAAACGAGTCCTGTACTCACCATGTAAAATGGATAAATAAAATACCTTCCTACCTACCAGAACCTGTCAGTTGTGCCTTTGTCACTTAAGTTTTGCCTCCCAACTTTGATATTTTACTGGAATGAAGCTTTTTACCTTATGCTATTAGCTGCATACCCCTGACAACATAATCTTAAACCATTTTTCTTAGAACCTAGTTTCATTGATGTGATGAGCACACCATCTCTGAACAAGAATGACAAGACTTCAGGTTCAAGTTTCTTTAGAACACCTGGTCAAGTAATGTCACTGACTTCCAATTTCACTTTTGTAAGTATACATAATTTCATATTCAAGTTTATTT